GTTGTTGCAGGACCCCTTTAAGGAAGTTTTTTCTGGTGCTTTCGGAGGAAAGTACCACTCCCGACTTCAAAGTACATTCCCCAAAATTTGTCTTGTTAAATTTGTATCACAAAAAGAAGCTTTGTCAACTCTGAAGCCGCTTGACTTTATCCAATATTCGCCGCCATTTCAGAAAATAACTGGTGCACCCCCGATAACCCCTGGGCAGTCTTGTATGCGTTACTGAAAAAGTAACCGATTACAATTACTTTATTGAAGATGTAGCTGATTATAGTCATCAATTACTGCATCACAAAAGTAACTACAAAAATTACCAGAAAGCAATCAATTAATTTTCATGTTACTTGTTTTAACTTCGTATAAAAGAAAAAAAATTGTGGATAAGATAACTTTTTATTCTTAGTACGTTGTATAGAAGCATGCACTGGTGTTGGCTGGTGAACACTTTGGAGAAGAAAGGGAGTCTTTGTCGTAGCAAGATGAGGTCGACGTAGGACACGGTCGTCAATGCCGCGACAAACCCGGATCGTAACAACCCCTTCTATAACCTTGTTATCTTTTTTTTTAGTTGTTTAAGGGTGAAAAAAAGTGTCCAACGTTGGTGCAACATAGACGAGTGACGCACAGGAAGACGGCGATTTTTCACTTAAAGGCGGGGGCTCAAAATTTTCTTCAGCGTGGCAGAAGATTCCCCCTCTTTTCTTTTTTCCTCCTCCCCTTTCCTCCTCCATTTTCCTCCTCGTTTTTTACGGCCTTCTCGCACGAGTGCTAATGGGCTTACCGGCCCCCCGACAAAATCTCCGTAACCCTTCAAGGTTCTCTGCTTCAATCCCAAAAACCAGGGATTAGTTAGGCAGGCTGGATATGAGCTTGGAAGGTTTCGGGCTGGTTCGCTTTTCTTCTTTTCTTCTTTTTTTTTTTTTTTGCTCTTTTTCTGCAGTTCTAAAACACACTCAGATAGTCAACACCAACTAGCCCAACAACAAGTTCTTTTACATTCAGATACTTTCGCATGCGGCCACACACGCTACACCACCGCATATTTATCTGGAGTGAACGGAACTTGAACATCACAGCAGAAGGAAAAAAGATGGGTATTTTTATCCGAACCTTGAGCTCTACCCAGAGAGTTGAAAATTTGTCGTTCTAACAACGGCACACTGAAGAGTGATTGTATCACTACTGTGTTTTTGTTTTTTGTACAAACTAATAATCATGAGTAATTACAAGTCAAAGATATTGCAGTCAGAGGGACACACAGTCTGACCATTTCTGGGGCATAATATATAGGTTCGTACTACAGGTGTTTTCTAGAGTGACGGCCGCCTCGTTGAAGCTACTAAGAAGAGTAAAAACAAACTTCCATAAAAACTGAAACGGTTTATGGTATATTTCATCTATCTTCAGCCTTTGAAAAAAATTTCTTCGTGGCCAAACGCGCATTTAGTTTCTGTCGACAAATGTAACTGAAAACTTGACACCCGACAAATATCTTGCGTATCAGCAAAGAGAACGGGAAACACGGAGATAGAACCGCAAAATCACAATTTTCTTCGCGTGAAATAGTGCAACTAGCAATATTATGCCACTAGCAATGTTATGCCATTTATTAAAAGACAGCAGGTATTACGAAGTTTTCATTCTCTTCTGTTCGCATTTGTTTGCTGATGAAGAAACGGAATGCCCAGATAGCCTCTGCAGCCCTTACATAATTGTTTGGGGCTATGTCAGGGTGGGCGAAGGCCATCTCCAAAAAAACCCAGGAGTTCGGAAGGTGTACTACCGCAAGTTTTGGGGCTGCTTGGATAATTTAGGCGTCTGGCGTTCCCCGCTATACTTAGAAAAGGAGTGGAACAGCGGTCAGCTCAACGTCGTCGTCAAGCGGGAAATCATGCCGAAATGTGTCCTTGAACACGTGCGAGATCTTTACCCGAACCCAGCCGGGATTCGCCACAATTAATCTACGAAAAAAATTATAAAAAGGGGTAGGCTTAAACGATTTGGCAGTTTTTGAATATAGTCATGCGGACTAACTGTCCACAAGTACGGAAAGAAATGCAGTAGAGATGCAGAGCTCTATTGTGTTCTTTATGTCCATACTTGTCTTTCGCGCTGTACTCCAATTAAAATGAATTCTGCAATATCTGTAGATTATGCCTGGTTATGTTGTCTTTAAAAGAAAGGTAATCAAGCAAAATCGGTATCGTGCCACAATTTGTGCATATACAATTTTATGTGGAATTCAAATTCAAAACAGTACTTCCGAGGGAAATAATGCATCCGTCGTTCTTCGTCTTCCTGAAGCTATGAACTACCGATCCCGGCTACAGGACTTTTGGTACACAAAATATCACGCTCAGTAGAAAATTCGCCTTTTCTACCAAAAGTACTGAAACTTATTTATTTTTAAAACAGGTCGGGTGGTGATGCGTGTTTGAGTGTAGAACCGTTGACTGGGCACTGGTTTGCGCCAAGACTGCAGTGCTTCCTTTCATGCTGCCCGCGACGAGTGTTGAAATTTGAATATAGTAGAAATAAAATCAACTGACACCCTTAGAATTATTTTAAACTTGCGCTTTTTTCAGGCATTAAGATTTTTATCGCACCTTTTATTCATTGTCGTCTTCGATGAGGGAGCAACTTGCCGAGGAGGCCGCGCTGTCCGCGTACGCGCCTTGACAGATAAGGTCGCGAACGCTTTTCACGAATCTTTAAAGACCAAGCATAAAAATGAAAGACGCAGCCACTTTACGCCAATGAATTAAGCCAACTTTATGTTTTTGGTAGACGTCTTGCGAGAGTTGCAGTATTTTTAATTATGCCTAATAAATTAAATGTTTAGGACTAAGTACCAAACTTTTTTAGATGTATTAAGAACCAAAATGTCAATTGGAAAGTTCTAGAGCTGCTTGAGAAACACCCGAATTAGCTGTTTGCAACGTGATGCGGCTCGCGTGGCTTCCTTCTGACTAGTAATAAAGCTTATGAAACATGACAAAATACCCCGTGATAAAGCGCCCGCCCCATCATAAACTCAATTTCGAATGTCCCGGGATTTGTTTTCATAGGCCGGAAAAAAAAAAAAGAGATGCATGCAAGACGCGTGCCCCACGCTTTATTTATATCAGAAAAGAACTGCCCTCTATTTTATATACAACGCTTTTTTTTTTTTTTTTTTTTCACCTACTAGATATTAGAAAAAAAACGTGGAAATTAACGTTTTGTGGATGTGAGCTAAACGGCCAGGCGAAGATTGGGTTCAAGAAAGAACGCAACAAAAACCGACTGATTACCTAACCATTGTTAATAAACTTTTTGATTATAAAAGAAAACGGGATAGTTGATTTATAAAGTTGTTGGGCGTAATCGAAAGCCACCAAATTGTCCAGTGAAAATTAGCGCCATTGCGGTTTGTTTAGGTGAGCTATACGGCCAGGCGAGGATTAGGTTCAATAACGAACGCAACTAAAACCGACCGATTGCCTAAAATTCGCTACTTAACCTTTTAATTAGAAAAGAAAACGGCATCTTGTATTTAGAAAGTTGTTGGCCATAATCGCAAACCACCAAACCGTCCATTCTTAAAAAGATGTAACGCGCGTACACTATTACACGGCGTCCTCCTAATTTGGGCGCGAAAATATAGTTCTGATTTTATGTGGGCTCCATCTCCGCGTAGAACAGCCTCATGAAGCTAAAGCGACAAATCATGCGCATCGCTGTGACAACGCCACTGTAGAAGGGGCGAGGAGTGCGGTGGCCGAAAACATTGCGGTAACACGATTCGCGTCCAAATTAGGCTTTTTAGGACGCCGTGAGCCACTTCACGTCCACTACATCCCTTTAAAAATGAATGATTTGGTGTTTTTTGATGACTACAAATAAAACACAAACGCGCGCGATTGCGTAACTCTGACGTCTTTTTTGGAAAAATGCGTAGTCGTTGAAAAAATAAATATCGCCCTGTATAAGCACGATTGTAAGGCAGTTCTTTACGTCCGGCGACATCATTACGGCATGGAAGGAGACGTTGACCACAGATCATACTCTGTGGATGATCTGTGGTCACTGTTTTTTTTTTTTTTCGTACGAGAATGAGCAAACATTTGATACCAAATAAAATAGATTTAGCATTCACCAAATTCGACTTGTTTACTTGATTCAATTCGATATTTGATTTGGTTACACTTATTTTGTACCCGCACACGCCTACTTTATTCCCTAATGAGTTACAAGTAATAATTACATTGTTTTTTGTATTTTTTTTTTTTTTTTTTTTTTTGCCGTGCGAGGTCATCACAATTTATTATTAACAATCGGAGCTATGCGATTACGCGGAGGAGGCGCATTTGAAGATATTCAAAATTGTTTTTAATACACAAACAACTTCAAACGTCTTGCTGTTTGGGTCGTTTCCTACACGCAGGACCAATAATAAAGTCAGCACCTTATAGAAGAGACTATTTCTATCAACTCAACGCGCAAACAGGATGTGAAGCGTGTCTGCGTACGTTGGAAAAGAGATACTGGCGAGCAAACCATAGCGTCGAATGTCCATGCATCAAAATGTCCGTGCACCGAAATATCCGCTCACCGAAAAGTCTCACACCGAAAAGTCTTTGCAGCAAAAAGTCCGTACACTGAAATGTCTGTGCACCACAAAGTCCGCACCGAAATGCCCTACAGCAAAACGCTCTACGCCGAAAAGTGCTAGACCCACTGCGGATGGGATCCTCTGTCACCTCTGCCGGTTTACGAACCATGATGATTCAGAACCACTGGTCTATGGAGCGCCATCCCTGATATACAGAAAACGCCGCTCGTACTTCCCGTTGTCGCCATGAATCCGCCTAAACAACAAAAGATGCCAAATCAGATATTTATATTAAAATTGATACTTCAATGACTACTTCTTTGAGCAGAACAAGGCATTTGTGCTCTCACAACAGCAAAGAATTGTCTTCCAAACCAATGCTAAAAAAGAGCCAATGCAACTCGTTGGGAAGAGCAAGTGCCAAGCTCGCTCAAAACAGCTACTCGGTTGGTTCAGGTTAGGGAGCCTACATGTAGGCTCCCTAGTTCAGGTCCTTGTCGCGGGTGTGCCGGCTGGCTTCTCGATAATCTTTTCAAATCCTTGAAGCTTTCATTTCCTCCACCCCAAACTTGTAGAGAAAAAAAAAAAAAAAAAAAAAAAAAAAACAGGCAGCTGGCAAAAAAAAAAAAGTCGGAAAACGGCGAGGAGGAAACGAGAGGCGATTTCCTCCTTTCACAGTGGCGAGAAGGAAAGTGAGGGTCGGGTTCCTTCTCTCTGCTTGCGGGCCGGCCTTTAAAGGAGCTGCGCAACGATTTTAACGTTGATAGAATTGCCATCTTCTAGCTACTTTTGACATTGTTTATCTTGTCACAAAAGACAGAAAACACACCTCCGTCCTTCAAAATGTTGCGATTCCGCCGCGTAATAGCGAGGCAAAACTTAGAATATTCCCCGACCTGCAGCCACGAGCAGCGGCCATGAGAACCATGTGGCATGACGTCAATGGGGGTCTTGTAAAAAGATAGGAAGTTGTGTGAATACCTGCTCGATAAAAGGTAATTTTTCGATAAATCTTGTCGTTCCAACATAAATATAAATGCATCAAAAACCTGGTATCATCGACAAAGCTTTTATTATACAGAGTTTTAGTGGTGCCATCTATCCTAGATCCACAAAACCGTCAGCTCTATCTGCTCTATCTGCTACCGCGAACAGCCGCCAGCAGTGTTGCCAATTTAGCGGTTTTCCCGCTAAACTTGGCGGTTTTTGGTTCTGTTTAGCGGGATAAATTATTGTTTTGCGGGCGGCGGGATTTTTAGCCGGTTTTATGAAACCTTGGCGGTTTTTTAGCGATATACAAGTTATATCGATTTACTGTCAACTATGCACCTTTCATATCCATAAAGACAAGGATAATAAGCCACAGTACTTTTCGCTTACTCTCAGTAATGTTCTGGTTTGTGAGAGTAACGCCTGTGACGTCATCAAAACATTAAGGCGACGAATGTCGGAACATGCCTCCCTGTTTTGTGCGCGCACGTTTGAACAGCATGATTGTTCCAATTTTCCTTTGACGTTTTTGTCACTGTTTCGTAAAATGAGCGTGGTGAAGTACACTCAAAAGTTTAGAAAAGACTGGTCATAAGACCCTAAACTTAAAGACTGGCTACTGGAGGTTCCTGGTGATAGCAGACGAGCCAGGTGCCGCTATTTCAAAACAGAACTATCTGCGAAGAATGTGGATTTGGTCGCGCACGCTGCAACGAAGAAGCATGTTTCGGCCGCTGCACCTTTCTCCTCTGGTAGCAGACGACTCTACGAGTTGAACGGATCTGACTAGTCACGCACTGCTGAAGGGTCCCTTGCCATGTTCGTATACGCTCGCTCTGCAATTTCGACTTCGGATCACCCGGGTGAACTGTGGCGTGGCGTGACAGATTTCTAGTCAAAACAAAAAGAAAGCTTCCTTTCAGATGGCATTGATATGATCTATACTGTTATTATACCTTTGTCAAGAATTAAAGCCAAAAAAAAAAGTGTCTAAGAAGTCGTTCTGCGCTGTGTTTTGGATTTAGCGGTTTTTTAGCGGTTTTCGGGATTCCGACTGCGGTTTCTTAATTTTTGAGTTGGCAACACTGGCCGCCAGAAGCCGGAGGGCGACGGGGATGGCCGGACCCGGATGAGACTTTCCTCCTTTCACCATGTTGTTCGCGCTGCGCCAGCACATGGTCACGGGGTCGCAAGCGGATGAGTTCTCGCTGCTCACTGATGGCTCTAAAGAGAGAACTTCACCGGAACCCCGCGCGACCCCCATTGACGTCGCAGCGCACGTGACTCAGAAGATAGTGAAGGAGTTGAGAGGTGTCGAAAACCTCAATCTTTGTCCATTTTTAAAGTAAAAACTGGGACATATGCAGGCAAAAGGAGTTTTTTGTTCTTTACTTCAGAAAGGTCGAGACACAAACTCCCAAATTATTTAAATAAAGCACTGAAATTGTTGCACAGCTCCTTTAAAAAACTCAATAATTTTGGCTCTTTCGGAAACAAACATCACTGGAAAAAAAAGTAATTGGAGCATTACGTAACCTGTTACAAGTAACATGATTACTTGTAACAGGTTACGTACAAGTCTGCACCTGAAGCATTGCATATTAGTTAAAAACAAAACAAACAAAAAACACTATGGAAGAATGAAAGGACATCATGAAAGATTGTGTTAAAAAGTACACGTATAGGGTAGACCTGTGCGCCGCCGCGCCGCGCCGCCGCCGCCGCCTGTTTTGCTCTCGCCGCCCTGCGCCGCCGCCGGAATCCCCACAGCCAGCACGCCGCCGCCGCCGCCGCCGCCGCACAATAAATCCGGCGCGCCGCCGGCGCCGCCATCTTTTTTTTTTTTTTTTTTTTTTTTTGGGGGGGGGGGGGGAGTGGGGTTATTGGTGTTTTTTTTTCTGCTTCTGCATGAGTTTTACCTACTATATTATGCATAAAAAATTAATAGACTTTTTTGCCTTTCATTTTTACTCCTGTAAATATGTCAATAAATGTAGAAGTTCCATAAAAAACGGAGACACGGAACGATAAAAAAAAACGGCCAAAACAACAAGTCTTAAACACCGTTTGTTGTTTATTTGAACAACGAACGTTGTTACACATACCTCAAAACCTCACCACCAAAAAAGAAACACCTCCTCTTCACTAGGTCACCGAGAGCCGGACACTCAGACAGAACCCATATGATTCATGATTCAGACATATCTAAATGATTCACACCAACCAGCCACCCTGATGACCTCGCTTGAGGGCTGACCAGCCACATGCGATAACAGGCAACTCCAGCTCCAGCACAGCCCTTACAATTCTTAGAAAACAGACACAAAAAACGCTTCATGTCACTGTCCAATGCCAAGGATGGTGTGCTTACTCAATTACCACAGGTCAAAATACTCAAGCTCTTCCTCAGAACTCTCCTAGCATTGCTAATTGTTGGGCGAGTTGGTATTGTGCGTGGAAAAACATGATTGCGCTTAAAGACATAGACAGAGGAAGAACACCACAGAGAGCTTACTTTCAACTGATTTAATGCAAGAGCCTCAGCGTAGATACACACTGCGTCACCGCACCACATCTCAACCAATCCGTGGCCCCGCCGCGGACCGCAAATACACTATCTGTTTTTCTGCAAAGTCGATTGAAACCACGCATGACTGCAGGTGCAAACCATTATTTGCTTCTTCCACTGTTCTCGCTAGGCACAAAGATAAGACTGTTAGAGAGATAATTTGGGGCAAACGCCATCAATAGTTCCGGCACGTGTTGTGCACGTGTTTTTTTTTTTTTTTTTTTTTTTTTTTTTTCTGGCACCCCTGAGGACCACCCGAAAAGGAGGTTAACCTTTCTAATTTGTGCTGAGCTTTGAAAACTAAATTTACACCGAACCTCTTTGCCATTGATGTAAAGTTTTGAGAGATTCCAAGGTAGTAAGGCACACACACAACAATCTTTACAACCGGTTTTTTCCACAGGAGCCGGATTGAACGTACGTTCCTTACACCTTGAGCACAACTGTAACAATCCCATTCTGCTGTAATTGTTAAAATGGTTGTGAACGAAAATTGAGCTTGGCAGAAGGTATATTGTCGGTTTTTATCTAGATATGCCTGACAGGAGTGGAGCAACAGTCCATTGTCACTCAAAAACTCTGCGTAATTGATTGAAATATTGAATCCGCATCATGGGAAAAGGTGCGATGTGACAACTGTAGACATCAAGGACTTTTGTTACTTTATGGATAAGCCGGAGCTGTTAATAAGGGTCAGGAGGTGGTGTGATGATAATCTAGTGAAGTTGCAGTCTGCCACGGGGATTGATGTAGATAGTTTTATCAGAATTCTGGAGTTTCATTTAGAGTCCACTGCCATAGACTTTGATGGTTCTCTTTTTATTCAAAAACAGGGTGTGTGTATCGGGTCGTGAATTGCTCCAGTGTTGTACGAGATTTTTTTTTTAAACGAGACTTATGTACACGTTGACACGGTTGTGCGGTCCTTGTCGATTGAACTGCAGAACCCTGCCATCGCAACAGTCGAATTAAGTACTTATAGACCTGTTGTTGCACACGGAAAAGGGCCCTACGGCAAGCAATCAGCCAAGCCTCTGCTGGCAGCTGACAGCTGTCACTTGAAAATAGTTAAGAGTGGTGTAATTGCGTCTGCGATGGATAACGCCTGTAAAGAATCCCGTATGTTTTGAGTTGGTGAGGCAGTTGAGTTGCAAAAGATGCGTCGCCTGGAAGCGGGCCATCACCACGATGTAATTGTTAGAGTAGTGCTCAAGGTGCTGAAGGTTTAATCCGGCTCCTGTGGAAAAACCGGTTGTGAAGGTGTGTGTGTACATTACTACCATGGAATCTCTCATAACTTTATATCAGTGGCAAATAGTTTGGTGTAAATTTAGTTTTCAAAGCTCACCACAAATTAGAAAGGTTAACCCCCTTTCTGGTAGTCTTCAGGGGCGCCAGAAAAAAACAAACATAAGAACCCAAATGTAACTTTTCAGGCAGGAGTGGCGTACGGGACCCCCTCATTTCGTCGAAACTCGTTTCATGGAATTACGTATCGCAGACAACTTTTCATGGGCACACGTTTCACGGACACACGTTTTGTCGACACGATCGTTTCATCGACACTCGTCAAGCGAATTGAACGCTGTAGGGAGTCTAGGGACATCTCGTCACGCGCGTATCATTTGAAGGGTTCTGATGGAGTTGCCTGTTATCGTATGTGGCTGGTCAGTCATCAAGCGGGGTCGTCTGGGTGGCAGGTTGGTGTGTCCATGAATCATTTGAATCTGTCCGAGTGTCCGGCTTTCAGTGACCTACACTCTAAAAAAAAAAGGGTGTATTCTTACACCTTTTGTCCCCTATAAGACACCCCAAAACTTCACACGTCGATCTGACGGTACTACCTTTCACGAGAGGCTTGGTAGCCGTGTGGTACAACTTATTAACATAGCTAATGTACGTGTTAGTGACTACAAAAAATATAATCGAGGTTTTCTTGGCCCTACTGCAAAACCTCAGTGCTTTCTTTCTGTGGTCTTTGATACGTACTTTAGCTATTTGATCTGTTATATCGATCCGTTATCTAGCCCCTTGTAAAATGTATGGCCGTCTGTGCGCTGTGCGTCAAACTAAAGTGTTGGGGTGCGTTATATGGGACAAAAGGGTGTATGGTGATACCGTTTTTTTTAAAGAGTTCTTTTTTGTTGGTGAGGGTCTTGACGTATATATAAGAGCGTTCCTTGTTCAAATAAACTATACCCGTTTTTTCAAGAAAAATAAAAAAAGAAAGTTTCGAGCATTTATTTATTTATTTATTTATTTATTAAAGTACCCTCAGGGCCCGAAGGCATTGCAGAGGGGGAGAGCACATACACGAAACAAAGATGTTCGAGGCGCGTTCACACTCTTGCAACCGAGTACGACCGAGAAAGACTTCTTGGGACCGGATGCACTGAGCGGAGCTGGTCCTAAGAGATCGCAAGAGGCTTAAAAACCGGTTTGGTCTCTCTCGGTCGCACTCGGTTGCAAGAGTGTGAACGGGCCTTATTTGGTTGTCGAAGAAAAAAGCGATGATTTTGGCGCTGGAACGTGTACGTCTTGATAGCATATATAGTATAGAATCCAGCTACATATATCTTAATTCTCCACATAAAGGTGGAAATTAGTAACGGTTCGCAAGGGCTCGGACTCTTTTTACTAAAGTTCTTGACGTGAAAACGGGTATAAAAGCTCTGTTTGAGACTTGTTGTCCAGTGCATTATTTTTATCGTTTCGTGTCTCCCGTTAGTATGGAAGTTCTTCACTAGCTCGCCTGTGTTTTTAAAGTGTTATAACGGAATGAACGGTTTTGTAGACCGAAAAACGATTTAATGAAAACTTTTTGAAATAATTTGGTACAAGAGGGCTATATTCGCGTCCGTTTTCAGGCTTTTTCAAACGTATTTTATTTTGATCCAAACGCCTGGCTTGTTCGTGTCACACCGTGTTTCTAGGGGTCCTTCTTTCTCGTTTCCACGCCGGGATCCAGCATCGGGGGTCGAAGTCGATCTCCCATCCGGTCGAGTCGGGGAGGCTCTTCTTACGGGTCTTTGCCGCCAGCGTATTTGCTTACACTCGCGAGCTCCAAATCCTTGCGCCCTCGCACATTTTGTTAATGTTGTCATGATCCTCTGTTATGCGTCTAGCCATCGTGGAAGGCGGCGTCGGCGTGATGCGCTTGTAATCGGAGGATCTGCTGCGGTGCAAGGCGAGTTGGTTAAAATCGACGTCAATCGCTGCAGATAGTTCGTGAAAAAAAAAAAAAAAAAAAAAAGAGCTATCGTGCGGTAGCTTGGCGGCAATCCGGTGTGCCTTGCGGGGTAAGCCTGGAAATGGTGTAGGTTTGATTGTTCACGTTGGTGATGACTTAAGTGTCCGTGGAAAAGCAGGCCAAGTTTCGAGGTAGGAAAGCCGTTCGGTGTACCATACCCTGTCCCTGACGCTGTATGGAGGTGGTCGATGTTTTGCATCGTAGGAACGCTTCATGACGTGAAGGTAAGCGAGGTTCGCGTTTGCAGCGTCGCAGTTCGCGCGGACGTCGCCGACCTCGTCGGGAAGCGGGGAAAATTCCATTGGTTGACGTGGGACAAAGTTGAACAGGAGTTCGAACGGTGATCTCTGGAGTCTGGCGTACGGCTGCTGGTTCACTCGAAAGCTGGTTGCCTGGAGATAATCGCTCCAATGGTCGATGTCGCCGTTGACGTTCTTTCGCGCAGACATGGAAGGATTTTTCTGTTGGCGCGTTCGACAAAGCCGTTAGCTTCGGGAGCCTAAGGTACTGTTAGGGATGCTCTGAATGTGCCTGTCGGCGAAGTACCGCGAAGCCGAACGAGAGGTTAGGACCCTGTCGTTGTCGGTGATGACGGCTTGCGGCGTACCGAATGAGTACGAGTTCTATAAATCGAAGGACGTGCTCGGTCGACTTGTTAGGCACGGGGCGTGCGACAAGCACGTGGTGAGGGGGAACGCGGTGATAAAATACCTGTTGCCGTCGGTCCTCGTCCTGCGGAGGATCTTGCGCCGCGGCTGCCAGCCGGCGACATATTCTCTTACAAACGAGAATAAACAAGACGCCTGATTCTTCTAACGGACGCACCCTTCACAGCGAAGGCAATGTATTACCTCTCAAGAAAAAAAATAAAATAAAAGAGTGTGTTCCTTTTTATGGTATTTGCATCTTGCAGTAAAGTGGAGATTTGGGCCAGTTGGTTCATTGCAAGCAAAAAAGCGCCGAAAAAATACAGGGACACAGACGAAGGGAAACAAAAGGAAGGGCATCCTTCCTTTTGATTCCGCCCACTCGAAGGTAGTGAAAAGGGGCATAGCCAGTTCGTGCCTGGGGGCTTCTCTCAGAAAGTCATGTTTGCACAGTGCGCAAGGCAGCTTCGAGGGTCAGATAGAACGCCTGCAGAGGGCTGGTTTTCCGTTGAGAGCTTTGGTTGAAGTGGCAGAAAGCTTAATCAAAAAGATTAAAGGTAATCGGAAATCAAACAGCGATAGACCGACCACGAGGCCTGTTGTCATTCCATATATGCACAATGTAACGCACAATCTGAAAAAGGTAGCCCAGCGCTACAATGTACCGGTAGCTTTTTCAGCACCCAATAAGATGGCGCGACTTTGTCGCCAGATCAATTCACCACAGCCATCTTCAGATCCCTGCACTACCAAACATCGAAATAAGTACGTTGAATGTGCCACTGGCGTCGTCTATGAAATCCCCATGACGTGTGGGATGACATACGTGGGCCAGACGGGCAGGTGCGTTAATGATCGCACCCGAGAGCACGCTGCCTCTACAAGAACGACGCCTTCGGGGCACCTTGCAATTCATTGCAATAGATGCTCTTGCACCCCGGCCTTCAATGACACCAAGATTTTGGCTAGATACAAAGATAAAGTGTCGCGGGAATTACACGAGGCGTATGCAATTAGGACCAGAGACAAGAATTGCATAAGTGACACGTCGGTATCCTTATCTACAAATGAGTTTGAATTTTTGAAACGCGGGCTGAGTAGATAGAAAAGATTTTTTTTTTTTTGTGTGTGTGTGTGTGTGTGTGGCTATATAACGTGTGAATTTTTCAATAAACATCAGTTGAGAGTGCGCCTTGTCCTGTTTCCCTTCGTCTGTGTCCCTGTATTTTTTCGGCGCTTTTTTGCTTGCATCTTGCTTTCCAAATTCAAACGACTCCTTTCTCTCTCCCCCTCACTCTCTAATTTACAACCCCCCCTCCCTCCCCCCCCCCCCCCCCCTTCCCCCTCCCCTCCCTCTTCCGCGCCACGCCGCCGCCGATCCGATGATCCCCGCGCCGTCAACACGCCGCCGCCGGAGGTACAAACACCGGCGCGCCGCCGCCGGCGATTTCTGACCGGCGCACAGGTCACCAAGCTCGATCAAAAATGGACCGTAAAAATCTACGTTTGCACGTAGCAATTTATAATTTTCGTCAAAGGCCTGTTTCACAGGTCGGTTTTTTCTTGTATAATTGCAAAGCGTAGTTCTCTTTCTGTAAAAAATAGGGTCAAGAAACTTCCCAGGGTCTACGGCGGGCGATGACCCAGACGACCAAGTCCAGTAGCGGAGTGTGTTTGGCGTTCGTATTGATAGATGGCGTCGCGAACAGCGTCCGAATGTGCAGACGACACGCAGACGAAGTCCGTTGGCAGCAAGAGTGCCGTCATTATCCAGACACTTTTTTTTTTTTAACTTTAAGTTTTACTTTTATTGTCTGCATTTATTTTTTAACCGATGGTACATTTCAAAAAGATTATGTTCATTTTAATAAACCACGGTGGTCGCGAGCCGTCGTGATAAGGAGGTAGCGCCACCTATCAATACGAACGCCAAGCACTCCCCGCTACTGGACCCCTGTCGTCTGCGTCGCTGCCCACCGTAGACCCTGGCAATTTTTTTGGCCTTATTTTTTACAGAAAGGGAGTTACGCTTTGTAATTCTACGAGAAAAAACCAACCTGTGAAATACACCTTTGACAAAAAGTTTAGATTGCTACGTGCAGGTGTCGATTTTTACGGTCCTTTTTAGATCGAGCCTGGTGACTTGGACTTTGAAAGCATATTATAATAATAATATTAATTACGCTTTATTCGGTTTATAAAAATTTGGGTAACAGAGAAAAGGCTTTTTCCCATACCGTGGATGCTCTCTGTACCCTCTAAAATAAACAAAATAAATTGTAAATCACTGAAACTGTACACTGGATTAAATGTTTCATCATGGTTATTTTAGATGGAGGGTTGCACACTTGTAGAATTCTTTTATGTACTTTGAATTTATTACATTACTTCAAGTATGTCGCACCCGATGTACTTGCTACTTGAAGTAAATAACCTCTCATTTACTTCATACTTTACTTCAAGCACGTTTTAGATGTACTTTACCCAACGCTGCCACATATTTTATTAATGCGAAAGCATTAACTGTCTCATGGAGCGAGCTGACGTCATCAGTCCGAAGCACGAAAACGGCAGATAGTTTCCTTCGGTTCCATTGGCTGGCGCGCGTCGACGGGGCTCCCATTGGCCGCTGCGCTCGTCAGTTTCCACGGCCGCTCACCCCATGGCACTGCGTGTCCATCAGCGCTAATCAGCGCCAGAGCTGATTAGCGCGGAGCGTCCAAGGTCACCCAGGGGAGCACACGCGCCGACCGGCGACGAAAAGTATGCAGCAGACGAAAAAGGGAGCGGACGAGCGGCTGGCATGCTTTCGCATTCACATCTCATAAGGAATGCTTAGGTGTACCTCTATCTTTTTTTTCCTCTCGACGACTTGTATGCCGTTAAAGATTTGTTTATAATTTTCTGCGCTAGGTGGCGGAAGCTGCTGCCCAATACGAAGGGCATGAGCTACTGCTCAGTATTGTGCTAGTCCATGAGCTACCTGACGGAGGCGCCCTGACTCGCCGCTGCTGCTGAACATTGCCGAAAGTGCCGTACTGGCCGGACTGTACTGGCAGTACTGGTGATTGTTGTGTGCAGTATACCTGTGCTTGCGAGGCTTCTTTCGTTTGTGTTTGCAAGGAAGCCGACGCTCCGATCCCTCTGCAATACGTCATGCGAATGGTCATGCTGGCTTGACGGCGATCGTCCAAAGTTTCGGAACCGAGCGGAGACCAAAATGTAAGAATTTGCGACTCGGTTCGAGTTCGTTGTTTCGCGAGCCTGCAGGTCAGTGCAACACCGCCATGCGCAAGATTCGCTGTAAACGCGGTAATCTTGACGTTTCGAACGCCTGGTGCGGCGCGCGAACCGCTCGCAGTGCTCATTCTTTTTTTTTCTTTATATATCTGAAACTCGCAAGCGTATTTTTACCAAACCCGAATGCTTGTTGGTTCCCTCCATTTCACTGTCCAAAGGCCTCGTGGGCAACGGAATGCTTAGCCCACGAGACAACGTATTCTTTTGCCCACTTGTGACAGATCCAAGTCGGAAAGCTGACTGCTTTTCGCGCACACTCGGAGCATGAAAGGACTTAAAAAAGTCGTGTTGAAAACGAAGTTGGGCATCGGGGGCATATGTGCGGTAGACATACCGGTTGTCAAAATTGCAGGCACTGCGAACGTGCGCAGACACGGCAAATTTGACGGCGAGAGAGAGCGATATCTCGTGCGAGTAGGGCGCCGATCAGAGGTTGTTTGTGCTGTGTGGCATGAGCTCATAGTGGTGGTATGCCCGTCGCTGATACCACTTTTTGATAGCCTGTGCCCCTTTTTTTGTTAGCAATATTTAGTCACTTTCTTTTTCTTTTTGTGTTAGCGCGATTTTAACAATTGATGCGTTCGACAAGACCGATAAGCAGTTGCTGCTTGATAAGTTGCACTTCGCCTAACGAAATGACGGCCGTCAACGACTATTTTAACTCTTTCTGGCACACAGCACGAATTCTAAACCTATGCTTGAAGCTTCGACCTTGCGCAGAATTTTGATTCGTACAAGCTTGTTTTTATTGAACACGACAGTGAAACCCTCAAGACTGTGGAGGATGACTCAGTGTATGTGGTGGGTTCTGGATGAGGCAGTCAATGTAATAATATCAAGAAATAATGTTTCACCACATGGCCATGTTTGTATGGTGGCTCTAGGAGAAGTCGTCTCGAGCCCAGTCGTCGCAGGCCAACTGGTCATAGGTGAACTCGTTCAACAGGCCAACTCATCCCAGGGCATCTTGACAAGGAATTCTTGTCATGCCAGAACACTCGTCACATGGAACACTCATATTAGGACTTGACTTTTTTTTATACAACCTGATGAGTGATGTCGGTTTCAAAATAGGATTGGTCAACATCCGAAACTGTGATATCCATAATTCGAGTCGCAAGCAGTATAATTATAAGGACACACATTCCCGGAAATCTTACGTCGATGGGAAATAAATCTGTGAAAAATACATACACTTGTGTATGTATTTATGCATGTATACATTAATTTATACACTGCGAAACAAAAAACGCAGGCTGGGTGTGGAGCTTTGACAAAGAGCTCTTGTCATATGAGCTCTCGAGCGACAAGCTCTTTTCAGCTGCTCTTTGAGCTTCATAAACTGCAAAACTACTTGTGGCATTTTTTTTTTCCTTTCTTCAAATAAATGAGTCAAATATTAACTGTCTTCGGAACTGACATGCCAAATCCTGAGGATGTTAGCCTTGACCATATGACATTAAAAAGCTAATAAATCGTGGAACTAAATCTGTCATCATTGAACTTGTGCTGATCATTCAAATCTCTCGGATAGATAACAGGATGTTCCTTGCAATATTTCGAAGTGTGCTGATTGCTGAAACGATTTTGAATACCAAGAAACATTCAGCAGGGGGGCTCTGGCGATCTTTCTTGGTCGCTGATTTGCCTCAAAATTGGCTCAACGCACTGATAGACACGGCTGTACCAGTTCAAGTGTTGTGCGAAAAGAAAAACATTTCGCGAAGTTATTGAATTTTCGAATTTTGTTTTCATAGTGTTTCTCAAACCGGGAGCCCCTACTGGCAACATTGAAATGTGAAAACAGAAATGGTACAAAATGGGCAGACCCTCGACATACTCTGTTTAAAACTAACTGCACGACCTGAAAGTCTACCATTTCTGACGTCGCACCACTGGAGAGCACGTGGAAATTTGAATGCTGGTTTCGGCATCATATTTATTCACGGTTTTTTCAATTGCTATTCTGAATTTCGAGAAAATAAATAGCATACCGTAAAGACTGAAGTCCGGGTTGTCAGAAAATGCAATTTTTTGGGGTAGCTCAAGAAACGGCCAGAGTACCCCTTTAAGTAGATGTTGAGGGAAAAAGTGCTTTATCTTTAGTTAAAAAAAATGTGAAAAATAGTTTAAACAAGTAAAAAAGAAAGCGTAAAGAAAAACTTACATTCACTCCTGTGTAAAAAAAAAAAAAAAAAAACTTTTTTTATGTTTTGTTTTAACTCAGTAGAGCCGTCCGTTGGATCCCCGAAATAAGTATGGGTGCAACTGACGGCCACATTAAAATGGCCTCGTGAAAAGTTATCGACGGCCTTGTGGTAGTTCTTACCCTGACGCACCCAATATATGTCAGAACTGTATTTTCTGCTAGCTGTGTGCAAAACTGCTTTTTTGATGGCACGAAAGTTCCCGGTGTAACAGCATTGAAGTCCCGTAAGTATGAGCATCCTAAGCGTATTTCTAAGTCATGTCCAAATTAATTTTGCTAGTAGGATGGTAGGACTAATTCCAGGCATTGAGGTTCTTTTGTGTAAAGCAAGGTTGTCGCTGTTCCTACCAAAACACAAACGACTTTGCAACCAATGCCCCCCCCTCCCCTCCCGTGGTAAGTGTACCTGTGACCAGGGGTGGATGCAGGAATTTCCTGAGGGGGGGGGTCAGGTGTTGGTCAGCATACCATATCTTTAGGAACCCCCTCCCCCTCTCCCTCGTTTCATGCCCCAAATTTTACACATGCGGAAATCAAGAGGGGGGTCAGGACATCCGGACCCCCCCCCCTCTAAATCCGCCCCTGCCTGTGACGAAGTGACCTCGATCCACAAGGCCGATGTGACAGGTAGTCCTGTAGCAAGTTTTCTGGTGACGAGTAGGATCGTGGCAAGCAAGCTGGTTCCCTCAATAGGCATGGCGGTGAATGTCATGGCTTGCCCTCTCTCCAGCGTGAATGTTTTCAGAGCTCTATATATAGTTAACGGAAGAGAGCCACACCGTTAGCACGAGAAAGTAATCACTGGTTTTTCCTGTTTGTCCCTTTGAATACAAAGACCGTCGTCACAACACTCGTGTGATGGGATGTGCTCACGACACATTGTGCATTGCCCAAGGCTTAGTCTCCCTCCGCCCAAATGTTGCGCGAGCGGTTCGAACCGGACAAAGTTCGAGAGCTTGCCATTATCTCACTTAAGAGTTTTAAGCAATTGTCAAAACTTTTCTGCGAGAAAATGAGGCTTGTTTTCAGCAGCGGGAGCCGTTCATCTCTGTGTATTCGTAGGCTCGGTCTACCGCCATCTTCTCGGTTAAAATCTCCATATGTCGCTTACAACTTTTGAATCTGATAACGGCAAGCTTCGAAATTCTGGCATCTGGTCCAGACGACTCGCAGTACATTCTGGTGGAGACTGAGCATTCCGCCGTGCGGAGTTTATTTTTGAGATGGGAATAACGCTTTTTTTTTTTTTACGGAGTCTAGTTACATATTGTGTTACAACAAGGTAATTGAGGGACCTTAAAGGCCGGTGTACACTCCGCGCTTTCCGCTTTTGCTCGCATCCTCCTTTCCTATATCCTCTCCACTTTTTACCTTGCCCAAACTTGGCTCCCCTTGCAGCTTAGGAGAGGGGGAATACTGAGAGGATTATCTTCCCTGCAGGAAACCGAGGTTGTATGTTTGTCTTTAAGGGGTGATGTGCTTTACAACGTTGCCAAAGTGTCTGAGAGCGCATAAATGGGGGGGATCGCTGTTGTGCCAAACTGTTTGTCATTTCTTTTATTCATGGAGCCAGCTTTCTTTAGGAGTGCTTAAAAACTGGCAGATCATTTCCTCGTCAAATCGCAAACACCAAAAAGTACCGAATATCTCAATAAAAATAAATGCTGCATAAATCACCTTTCGATTTTTTCGAAAATAAACACGGTAAATGCGGGACTCTTCTTGTAACCCGTTTCCAGCAGCAAGCACAAATTTTCCTAGGTTCAGATGCTAAAAAGTATTTGGAAATGACCGGTGGGTGTTGAAAAGCATCATATCTATCCATCATTTTTGGTGTCGATGAGTAATATTAGTGAGCTTTATTAGATCATTGCAATAATACCATACATGGGTAAATTACTTTCAAAATGTAATTTAATTACAATTACAATTACTTAGCTCCCAAAGTAGTTTAACTACAATTACAATTACTACTACGCGAAAGTAGTTCATTGCAATTACAAATTACTTTTTAAAAGTAATTCAATTACTTTACAATTACTTATTTCTGAGAGTTACCCACCTTGGGCCATATAACTGTAAACGAGTTATATGGCCGCTGTATAAATGTCACGCATTGTACTTTCCTTTTATGAAATTTGTTAAATGGATTATAGAACTTAATAGTTTGGAGTAATGAACTCCTGATTTCTTATATTCTCAAAAAATAAAAATAAATGGCGACAAAATTCACAGGTGCGAGGTGAATCTCCTTAGAGCTTGTGCAAATGGTATCCAAGTCAAACCAACAAAAAATAAACTTAAAAATAATACAAGGAAACAAATATGCGACAGTACTGGTATCATAAAACTCGATGATTCGCTGCCTCTCCCTGTCTGTGGACTTGTAACATGCCGGATGTGGGTAACCGAACTGCTGTCGCTCCCACAAAACTAGTGTCACAATAGCAGCAACTCTCTTGCCAGGGATTCTGGGTTAATTCAGTGCACGGTAAAGGCCGGTTCACACATGCAGCGGAGCGCTAAGTTAGCGCTACGTGAGCGCTCCAAGGAGCGCTCATGTGGCGCTTCCTAGCGCGTGATGTAGCGCTCGGTTAGCGCTTCAGTAGCGCTCTGTTAGCGCTTCAGAAGCGCTTTGTTAGCGCTCTGTTAGCGCTACAGAAGCGCTTTGTTAGCGCTCTGTTAGCGCTACAGAAGCGCTCTGTTAGCGCTC